ATTTGTTATAACGAATTAAATTCGTTAAAAGACTTAAAACGAATTCGACAAATCGGTATATCGAATTCATATATAATTTTCTATAGGCCCCGATTGTTGAATTTGATTACACGATTTTAATACGTTATAACAAATTTTAGAATTTAATCTGTTTCAACAAAATGTTTTGAATTCGTTATAACGAATTTAAAATTTGTATTAACGAATCAAACTCGTTTTAACAAATTCTAAAACTTGTAATTAAATTAAATTCGTTAAAAGGAATTCTTTAATTTGTTATAACGAATTAAGAAGCGTATACATGTATTGTTTCTAAAACATTTTCTGTTTTTCTTTGTTGTAGAATTATTATGATATCATGACAACAAACTGGAAGGTATTTTTATAATAAACAAATCACTGTTAAAAAATGATAAATATGTACCAAGCTAATAAGATTGAAGACAGCAATTATTAACACATTTCGTTCGGTTATTTTATACATGTATATGTAATAACAATTACATGGTATACGTATAAGCATAAAAAAATATGTCAGATATTAATTGGTATTATTTATATTTTAATTTATCACAGTAATAGTGATACATGTATGTTTTCCTTTGTCAAATCTGGCCCGCTGCTCAGATAATTAATTTTACATTCGTGCCTTTACAACACAGGTAAGGATTGGTGTGTCTTTGGTGTCACCACTGTTGTGCTGTTGTACAACACAGGTAAGAATTGATGTGGCTTTGGTGTCACCTCTGTTGTGTTGTTGTACAACACAGGTTAGAATTGATGGTTTTGTTGTCATCTCTATTAATTTTACATTTGTGCCTTTACAACACAGGTAAGGATTGATGTGTCTTTGGTGTCACCTTTGTTGTGTTGCTGTAAAACACAGGTAAGAATTCATGTGGCTTTGGTGTCACCTCTGTTGTGTTGTTGTACAACACAGGTTAGAATTGATGGTTTTGTTGTCATCTCTATTAATTTTACATTTGTGCCTTTACAACACAGGTAAGGATTGATGTGTCTTTGGTGTCACCTTTGTTGTGTTGCTGTAAAACACAGGTAAGAATTGATGTGGCTTTGGTGTCACCTCTGTTGTTTTGTTGTACAACACAGGTTAGAATTGATGGTTTTGTTGTCATCTCTATTAATTTTACATTTGTGCCTTTACAACACAGGTAAGGATTGATGTGTCTTTGGTGTCACCTTTGTTGTGTTGCTGTAAAACACAGGTAAGAATTGATGTGGCTTTGGTGTCACCTCTGTTGTTTTGTTGTACAACACAGGTTAGAATTGATGGTTTTGTTGTCATCTCTATTAATTTTACATTTGTGCCTTTACAACACAGGTAAGGATTGATGTGTCTTTGGTGTCACTTTTGTTGTGTTGCTGTAAAACACAGGTAAGAATTGATGTGGCTTTGGTGTCACCTCTGTTGTGTTGTTGTACAACACAGGTTAGAATTGATGGTTTTGTTGTCATCTCTATTAATTTTACATTTGTGCCTTTACAACACAGGTAAGGATTGATGTGTCTTTGGTGTCACCTTTGTTGTGTTGCTGTAAAACACAGGTAAGAATTCATGTGGCTTTGGTGTCACCTCTGTTGTGTTGTTGTACAACACAGGTTAGAATTGACGGTTTTGTTGTCATCTCTATTAATTTTACTTTGTGCCTTTACAACACAGGTAAGGATTGGTGTGTCTTTGGTGTCACCTTTGTTGTGTTGCTGTAAAACACAGGTAAGAATTGATGTGGCTTTGGTGTCACCTCTGTTGTTTTGTTGTACAACACAGGTTAGAATTGATGGTTTTGTTGTCATCTCTATTAATTTTACATTTGTGCCTTTACAACACAGGTAAGGATTGATGTGTCTTTGGTGTCACCTTTGTTGTGTTGCTGTAAAACACAGGTAAGAATTCATGTGGCTATGGTGTCACTACTGTTGTTTTGCGTTTTATTTCACTGCTTTACTTACACTGAAGCCCAAGACTGAATGAAAAGTTCAGTTTTTTTTTTTTTTTTTTTTTTGACATTTCAGACACTCACAAAAAGAGTCAAGCCCATAACCCCTAGCTTTTCCTTTATTTCATTCTTTAGATATTTCTATTGTGAATAATTATTATTTCTTTATGATTTCAATGCGTATATCTCTGTCCTACATACTTGTAGAGGATGAATGCCGTAAAGGTTAAAAGTTTCCATTTAACGTAGGATAACCTTGGGACTCTAGTACTTTATATTGATAACTAGTAATTGCTCCTCTTTTTACAGAGTGCTATTTGTTAATTTTGTGGCTCTGTTCTGGAACATTTATTTAGCCTGGAAGTCTGAGACAGCTCATCGCCAATATCAATCAAATATTCAATGGAAAGAACAGGATGTTTAATGTATACTGGTACAGTATTGTTTCAACAGAAACAATTATCTCTCTATAACACAGCTGTGCCTGGTGAGTTTAAAAAGGGGTGAAATCATTTGCAAAAATGTGATAGGACCAAAATGACATGGGGCGAAAATAACCCTGTACGCAGTAGCAACCAACTTCTTAATTTTCACTTTGGGAACTTCATCAAAAAAGGTCAATTTTTCAAAAGAATAGTTGTCAATGTTATTGATTTCTTTTTCATTTTTAGTGAAATAAAATGTTGGACACTTTGCATTTATCTTATATATACAATAGTGTACTGCTTTTCATTTACTAACAATATTTAAATGGGAATAAACCTGCTTTTACTTGTGGATGTACCGGTTGGTTGAGGCTGGATATACCATAATTTTCATTCCCTTTTTTATTAAATCTATCGAGTTTCTAATTTTGAGCGTGAAGTTTAGGAAAAAAGTACTTGAAGATGCAGTTGCATTGCTGTTTAGTGTACAATTTTTCCGTTTATTATTGTTTATCATTTGAAAAATGGCTTAAATCTAATGAATTCAACAATCACCTGTGTTTGTAATTATTGGCATGAGCTCTGTTATTATAGTCCCCTACCGGTAAAACCGGAGAGGACTAAAACTGCTATACTATGAATTCATTTTTGATAAGTCTTTGTGTCTACAGATAAAAAAATCAGATGGAGGAGGAGGTTACTCCAGAGTACCAACATTATACAAATTTTTGACAGCTAAAACTATCTACAAAATAGGAATGCAAGCGTGTACAAGAGTTTACAGGTGTTGGAAAATAAAATAAAGGTTGTACATGTATTTCATTGTTTAAAAATTTACATAACAAATTTGCTTAATCCAATGAAAATATATTTTAGGCCAAAATAAAAAATACCTTTGTTTCCCCTAACGCGACCGACCCAATTAAAACGCGCCGACTGGAAAGTTTTTTTCATAAGATTATTCAAATATTTTTTTTTTTATACATTTATCAACTTCTATAAAATAAAATTCCATCAAATCTGTTTTTTATCAGAACGACTGATTTTGTTCTGTGATTTTCAAGCGTTTATTGGAAACAAAATAGCGCCTACAACATGTGGTCACGGAGGGTTAGTTCGTGTTTTAAAAGAAAGGCAACGTATCAACCTTATACCTTTAGCATATTAGAATCCTGCACTCTTGAAACACTTCGTTTATAAAATATAATATCCAATGACTAATTGAAAGTGTTTGGGTTGTTCTTAAAATTAAGGTACGTAGAGAGCATGCTTAGGCTCATATGTCGTCCTCGTGATACCCCTCATGAGCAGACAAGGGGCCCACCTTGTGAAAACACCAATCAATTTCATTGCATTTTATTTAATTTGAGTTTTGATCTTGTACACAATTCATCAATATTCCAATGTTTACTATATGGGACCATAGGAGTTGTAAATAAGTCTGCATATTTCATCCTAATGAATAGAATTCAAATGTCCTTATTTTCATGCCTTTTAATCATGGGTTAAACTTCGTAACTTTGAAATTGTGTATGACATGTTATCATTTTTAGATATTGTTTGCCTCAATTAAATATTGTTAACATGGTTTTACCAAATAGATTTGAAATTATGATACAAGCTTCCTGAGACGTCCGTGTATTTTTCTTTAATAAGGCCCTGGAAGATTGGTTGTTTCTTTGATTTGAATCCCTTTGATAATTGTTGGGACAACAACATTTATCTAAACATTTGTCTGGTGAAGGACTCCAAATTTAGACGTGTACGCGGCACTTTAGACCATGAGCAGTGGGGATTTTTTTTTTCATGCCAGTATCTACTGCGTAACTGGACCTAAGTTTTTACTGTGCCATTCGAAGAACTGTTCTCAACGTCCCGCATTGGGATTTGAACCTGCAAATTAGAAATAGCTCCTTACTTCGAGACTCTTAAACGAAATGCTCTAGAAGCACTGCACAATTCGAGGCACTTGAAAAAGTACAAAGCAATGGAAGCTGATAGTAGGTATAAAAAAGTACCCTTGTGTGCAGTGTTTGCGTACCCGAGAATCTTTTAAACAGATGTATTCGATTTCAACAAATTTACTCTGGTATGAGATATTTCGATTGAATAATAGTTGTGAATTAATTTACCTTATATGTTGAGTTTAAACTGCATTTGTATGGTATTCTAGCTGTTTACAAATCACTTTCTTTTGTACTTAACTTATTTATAAAGATATCATTCTATTAAATTTTAAGAATGTATTTTCAAAGCTGCTGTCAAAAAAATTATTTGCCTACCTACCTACCCATCTTGAGATTTTAGGGTCGGGTTAGGGGAAACAAAGATACTTTTAATGATGGCCTTATCATGACTATTCATGACATCAGAAAATCTTTTAGCGTTTCTGAGATCTCGTCCAGACAAAATCTTTTAAAAAAATAAATCATGCAATAAAAAATTTATAACAAATAGACTATAAATATTACAGATGTGCATAAATCACAAATCTTTCATGGGTTTGTCTGTCCTTGATTTCTGTCGCAATCGCTAGAGGGCTAGCAATTAAAAAGGTAGACAACCCAATTCACTTTCATACGGAACTCATCTCGATCACAGAAACGCGCGAGGGATTCCGGGATCAGTTGCTTGGGAAGCAGCCGGTCTGCTACGTGATGGAAAAATTTATCATCAGTTTTACTTAAAGCATAATATTTATGAGAAAAAATGGCAATTTTACTACGAAGTTATCTCCGTGTCTTAGAGAAGCATCCATTGCTTACAATGTCTTGCACTACAGGTAAGTGTTTTATGCACGAACAGACCCATTAAATCCACTCCCCAAATCAAGAGATTTCTATAGGTGGATCCATAAATACTCTGTGACCCTCTTTTATGAATTTTTACACTGTACAGTCCAGTGTTTATCTCGTTGATTTTTGAAAATTTTTGCTAAATGTACAGTTGTATTATGTATATTTGCCAAAATGTACCACTGTGTACAGAAAAATTAAAAATCTGATGATTTTTAAAGGCGACACTCATAAAGACAACAGTAAATGAGTAACACTGTTGATATCTGTTTAAAATAATGCAGTTTATGTAGATAAAAAAATAAAAATTAAGTTTAATGAATATCGACAGTGATTGATCGAGGAAACTCGATCTGAACACGTGTTATATCAGCTACAGTTAGTCCTAGTCTGAATAAGCTTACTTTAACGACTAACTACTATAGTATACTTGAATGACTTACAAGGAACAAAAATCCAAACCGTGAAAAATCTTGGAAAATTCGGACTAGTGAAATGATGTCTTAATTTAAAAAAAAAAAATCTGGTTTTGCTGTCACATGTTATTCTACCTATGCTTTACTAGAATATGCAGTAAAACCTCATTATCAAAAACTCACTGGGACTGAGAAAAAACTTCGAGATATTTAAGAATTCGGGATATCAAGGGTAAAATACTTAAAGAATAAGTGGTTGGGACTTCCAAATCACTTCGACATATCCATGGTATTTGAGATATCAGTGTTCAAGATTCCGTGCTTAAGAGTACTATAGACTTTACATGTAGCTAGCACATCCTCCAGGAGGAGGTAATGCTGAACTTTTTAGAAATAGAAAAGGATATTTCTCAATTAATGTACAGGCAATCTGTGATTATGAACTCAAACTTAATAATGTTGTAATACGTTGGCCCTGCAGTACACATGACAGTAGAATTTTTGATAATTCTTATATTTGTGCTAAGTTCAAACACAGAGAAATTAATGGAATTTTGCTGGGTGACAATGGATACCCATTGTGGTCTTACCTTACAACATCAGTTCTCACCCCATACTTTTGAGAGGAGAGAAGATTCAATTTTGCTTTATGCAATATATACACATGTAAAAATTGAAAACGTTTTTGGCATCATGAAGAAATGATTTCCATGTTTGTGACAGCAGCTTTGACTAAAACTTCATACAAGCTGTATATTATTGTACATGTACCATCTGACCAGTATAGTCAACAACAAAAAACAGCCCAGTTAGGATATGCTGTATCCTGTCACACAAAAAAAGAGGATTCTAATGAGACTGAACTAGCTGGAATTGCTCAGAAGAAACTTGTGAGAATAGAAATGTGAGAATATTTTAGATTAACAGATTTGCTTTCCATAAGTGCAGGGATCTGTGTCCTCTTTTAAAATATTTCCATGCTTTTGATTTCTGGGAGGCATGCACATGTTTAATCTTGTGTAGGTGACTAGCACAGGTTTGATTCAAAATTCATATAAACACACCACAACACAATAATAGCAATTGGAATTACTCAGTTATATATAAACTGTGAAAACTAATCAAAACAAAGTGGTCCTATTTGTTACAGCCTAGATAAAATCTCATGGTATATAACGGTAAATAAAACAGGATGTGTTACAATACATTTAAAAATATTACTTATTTTTTAAAATGTATATATATCCGAGTAACAATTTTACTAACTGATTCTCGCATCATTTGAAGATTACCTGATACACTACTCTCTACCAATAAGTTTTTATATCTCTTTATTATACATGTATAACATAGAAAAATCTTGAAAAAAAAATTATTCATTATACATATAGAGACATACATTTGGTATCTGTTTTCATGATTTTTGAGAAAAAAGGTTTGTTTTTAGCAGGTGACTTTAAAGGGATGTGATAATGTAATCCAGGGTTTGACACTTAGGCACGTCTGACCGACCCAGTCTAGTAAATGTGTGGTCCGGTCGTGTTAAATGTTCATGAAATAAATGTTAACCCTCATGTCAGTCTTTCAAATAAATGCTCTAAAAACATTTTAAAGAAATTTTCTTAATTTTCCGATTGCAAACACAGCCATTGCTCTGAAAAAGAAAATTTCCCTGCATGACACATCGCTATTTTTGAGCCCGGATGTAATAGACAACATGGACAAGTCACAATCGAAACTAGCTTCGTTCAGTATCATTTCGTATGAATAATCTTTGAATAATATAGTTTTTGATTTATTTACATGTATATTTACGGTAATTATTTTATTTAAGTTCCTTGAATTAATGTTCTTTAAAGCTTATAATATTCGCATGTTGACTTATTGGGCTGCTACCTATGGGCTCAATGGGCTGCTACCTATGGAACAGTCTGTCAAAATGTATACTTGAACACATGCGAGAAATACACTGTAGTATGGTTTCGAAGCTTTTTTTCCATTATAATAGCAGGTTATAAAAAGAAAATTTTCAAGTTTGGTCAGGGCTAGTGATTTTAAGGTCAAGGCTAGTAAAAATTATGAGAAGTAACCAGATTTGACTAGTACTCATAAAAGTTAATGTCAAACCCTGTAATCATTTAATGTTCAAACAGATCACTGCATGATCAGTCATGCTTGCTTATAAGCTTTTTCATTTCAGATCTTTAATGACAACCAAGGCTTTTTTCCCAAAGAAAGAAATTGCAACAAAATTATATTTTCATCTTTTTAGGCACATTAATGGCAACTGGAGATGCCATATCACAGACAGTAGTGGAAAGAACAGGGAAATTTGACCTTGTCCGAAATGGAAGATTTTTAGTTTTTGGTGTGTTTATTGGAGTAAGTATTGGTGTTTACAAATTTGAATTTTACAGATAATGGGATTAAGACCACCAAATCCTCAACTCCTGGGGACTTGACAGGCAGTTCCCAATAATTGATATTTAAAATAAAAGACATAAAAAGATTGAATTGATCTTGAATATAGACCCCATTGAAAATTGAAAAGCAAGATGTGTTTGTGAAACATTGATGCCCCAGTATGGCAACTTACAACGAAGGTTAAACTTTCTCAAACACAAATCAAACACAGTCAAACCTCGTTATCTCAAACTCAAGGGACCGAGAAAATACTTCGAGATAACCGAGGATTTGAGATATCCAGAGTAAAATACTTTAGGAATATGCAGTTGGGACTTCAAAATCACTTTGACATATCCATGGTATTCGAGATATACGTGTTCGAGATACCAAAGTTCAACTGTATTTTGGTACCCAAAGTAAAGTCTTGTTTCGAAGAATATACCTGTGAAATATGAAAGCCCTAGCAGCAACCATTGAAAAGATATGGAAAAGGTTAAAAGTTTTTCAAAAGTGAGTCAAATATGAAAGTCATGGTCAAATGGTCAAAATTAATAGTGCCGAAGGATAGGCCTTCTCACAAGAAATATACATGTGAAATATGAAAGCCCTAGCACAAACCATTCAAAAGTTATGACCAAGGTTAAAGTTTTTCAAAAGTAGGTCAAACTCCAAGGTTAAGGTCAAAAGTTCAAAGTTGTTGGTATAAGTAAGGACTTGTCACAAGGATTACATACAGGTAACTCTTGATGGCTCGAACTGCGATCTCTGGAAGTTCTTGATCGCTCGAAGTGAGTCTCCGGTGCCGAATTTTTCCCCTATATAACTAAGCAAATTTACTCTTGATTTCTCGAACTCTTGATCTCTCAAAACCCTTGATCCCTTGAAGTCAAAATGGAGTCCCGCTATGCATATTCTATTAGAATTTACCCTCGATACCTCGAAGTGACTATGTGTATACAAGGTTATGTAATTAGCACCTTTACCTGGACATTCAAATGGCCCCAGGTAGAAGACGCGGGTCTCGAGGAACAGGATGTTTATTCAGGTAACACTTATGCTGCAAGGTGATAATTGATTTATAATTAATCATATTTTGCCTATATGCTATTAAAATAATTATCATCGACTGTCTTACAATAATTTAGAGACGAAGTGTCAGTGAAAAGTAGTAATTGATTAAAAGACAAACCACTGATTTAATTTTTATTTCGAGTCAGTGTCAAAGTTAAACGAAATATGAAAAAGCAGAAATGTTCAGCCTCAATGTCAGTATGACGACTATTATTTGACAAATACTTACAGAACTGCGTTCAATGATCATGTTTGAAATACTCAATGCTATGTACGACGCCATAAAATGTCGTTTACACATAACGAATGTGTAGTATGATGTCCGTATTACAAAGAATAAATAAATGAAATGACGATATACATGTACATTTTTTGCTTACTCAGTTTAATGAAATATTCATCTAAATTATGAATAAATATATAAAAACCACGTGGAAAAGGTTAGCACTGCATAAAAATAATTACATCTGGTAAGACTAATTTTAAAACCTGTCAACAAACCCGGAAAATTCCCGACTCTTGAAAACTCGAACTCTTTCAAGATCTCTCGAAGTTTTTCCTCGGTCCTGTGGATTTCGAGGTATGGAGAGTTACCTGTATGTTAAATAAGAAAGTCCTAGCAACAACTGTTCAAAAGTAATGGCCAAGGTTAAAGTATTTCTAAAGTAGGTCAACCTCCAAGGTCAAGGTCAAAAGGTCAAAGTTGTTGGTATCCAAAGTAAGGTCTTGTCACAAGGATTACATATGTGAAGTATGATGTGAAGTATGAAAGCCCTAGCACCAACTGTTCAAAAGTAATGGCCAAGGTTAATGTTGGGTAAAATTTTGCAAAACTGGGTCAAACTCCAAGGTCAAAAGGTCAAATATGATGGTACTCATACACATGTGAAATATGAAAGCCATAGCTCCAACCAATCAAAAGTTATGGGCAAGGTTAAAGTTTTTGTGCATAAACAGACAGACAGACAGATGGACAGACAGGGCAAAAACTATATGCCCCCAATTCTTTGATTACAGGGGCATAAAAATCATAGATGATGAGATATACAATGTAGGGTTGTATATGAGCTTCTTTTATCCAAAATAATAAAAATAATAATTTTGGAAAGAAGTTTGTGACTACTGCCATTATTTCTTATTAGGTTTGTTAGTGACTGTCTGTAGAAATATCAGTCTCATGGATGGCAAGGCAGAGGTAGATGAGCTGTCTATAAGATTGATCAACCAACAACCCAATATATTTTTGTAGACAGTCACTAACAAACCTGTTAAGTGATTTATTTTCTTGAGGACCATAATGCAGAAGACATACATGTATATACACTGTTATAATTGCCATATTGCTGGATATAACTTCTTACATGCCAGACATAGAAATGGTGGTAGTCACTTTCAAACAAATAAAAGTGTGATATTTTAGTCTGGGGGAAAAATAAATTTACATGAAAATTCTTGCAAAATCATTTGGTCCAAAGATATTACCCCACCTAACAGGACAAATATCCTATAGTGTGCTCTTTGAGAGAATTTCCATTAGAATCACTTTACCAGTAAACTAAGAAAGTTGTTGTATCTCCTAACTATAGCACAGTAGGTTGTTTTTAAAGTGAGATCCTGTCTATACATGTATTTTGCATAGTCTACTACCAAGAATCATTAATTCTTGTCAATTAATTATTTAATTGATGTATAACCAGGCATAGTGTGTCATTATTATTATGTTTAGGCCAGGTAAAATTAATCTTTAGATTCTCATCCCCGCCCGCCCCTCTCAAAGTGCCCCGCCCCGTTGTTTTTTATTTTGCTTTTTGGGTGCCAAACGTATTATTTTCATGTATTTTTATGGCATTATCCTGTTATTCGCTCCGCGGGTTGAATAATATTTGACGTTATTGACGTTATGTCAAATGAAAACCATTGGTCGATGTGAGGTCAGTATTTGAGAGTTTTATAGGTGGAGGTGCTACTAAATACAGGAAAGGGAAATCAAGAGTTCAGGACTGAATCTATATGTAGCCTACATAATAAACATACAAATTTCAAGCGTTGTTTTATATTTTATCTTCACAATATAAAATAAGAAATTTATAAATGAAATTTGAAAGTTTGCCCTTGTGCATAAACATTTTATGCAAGGACAAAGGGCCATACTTATTCGCACTGGTGCGAATAACAGGAGTATATATATGCCGACGATCTTTCCATTTTCAAGCTAAAATGCTCTGGAAAGGGAAGACTTCCCGGGAAAAGGGTTTCTTTTGGGGAGAGTACATAAAAAATGGGGCTTGGAGTTTTTTGGGGAATATTCCCTCTAAAATTGGCATTTTATGAAAGGACATAGGGCCATACTTATTCGCACCGGTGCGAATAACAGGAGTATATATATACAGACGATCTTTCCATTTTCAAGCTAAAATGCTCTGGAAAGGGAAGACTTCTCGGGAAAAGGGTTTCTTTGGGGGAGAGTATATAAAAAATGGGGCTTGGAGTTTTTGGGGGGATATTCCCTCTAAAATTGGCATTTTATGAAAGGACATAGGGCCATACTTATTCGCACCGGTGCGAATAACAGGAGTATATATATACCGATGATCTTTCCAATTTCAAGCTAAAATGCTCTGGAAAGGGAAGACTTCTCGGGAAAAGGTTTTCTTTGGGGGAGAGTATATAAAAAATGGGGCTTGGAGTTTTTGGGGGGATATTCACTCTAAAATTGGCATTTTATGAAAGGACATAGGGCCATACTTATTCGCACCGGTGCGAATAACAGGAGTATATATATACAGACGATCTTTCCATTTTCAAGCTAAAATGCTCTGGAAAGGGAAGACTTCTCGGGAAAAGGGTTTCTTTGGGGGAGAGTATATAAAAAATGGGGCTTGGAGTTTTTTGGGGGATATTCCCTCTAAAATTGGCATTTTATGAAAGGACATAGGGCCATACTTATTCGCACCGGTGCGAATAACAGGAGTACAGTGGCGCCTCGTTTATCCGGACGCCTCTGTCCCCAACGAAATCGTCCGGATAAATGAATCGTCCGGATAATTGAATCACATATCAAAAAGCACTCTCTATATAAGCATGTATAGATGCACATTCTTGTTTCAAATGTGACAGCAAAAAGAAAAAAACTTTTAAATTATATTTTGGTTAATTGTTTTAAAAGCAGTAATTGATTAATAAAAAAATGGATGGCCAATTTTATGCCGAGACCTCCTTTTTAATTCACCTTCTCTTTGACATGTGACTTCATGGGTTGAGCAAATTTTGATCTACTGTTGTTTTATTTTGTCATATATTATAATTATTGAAACTTATATGATATGACAGAACTGTTCAGCATCATCATTGAAAATGTTCAACTATAAACTAACCCTGTATATTCCCCGTATATTCATTACACATGGTTACTATAAAATTAACTGAACACTGCAAACTAATCAAACAAAGTATTAAAAACATTCGTAAACACAAGCCATCTTCATGATTATCAATATTATTTTTTTCTACAGACGCTAAGTTTGAATTTCGATCATTAAAAAATACCTTGAAAAACGTAATCAACCTCTGTACGTAACGCCAGTTTGATATGTAATGGACGTTTGTAAACAGTAGTACATTAGATAGAGATATTTCTTCTGTTATGTACCTTTCTGTATTGTCTTGTGGGAAAAAAAGCGTTTCAAATACTTTTACGTTTTTTTTAGAAATGGAGCTTCGTATTTTAAACTAACGCAATCGACAGGATAAAGAGCATTACGAAATCGCTCGTTATTTATTGTTCATTTTATTTACAACTCCCCAAAATTCTCCTTAATTTAGCGATGTATATACGGTTAGCGGATTATTATTTAATTAATGCACAGTGTCAAATAAATTCTTTGAGCTTCATAATAAAGATAAAC